GGCAACTGCCACCCCATGCCACCCCAGTAGATCCGCCCCTGCCTATCAGTAAGTTTTATATGCACCGCAGCGATATTAGATTTTAGCTTTTATCTCACGACTTCCAGGTACTTTTCTATTCATTTTTACCAAATATTAATTAAAGAGTTCTCTCTTGAGTAAAACCAGAGCACGCAAATAGTAAACATATTTTATCCTAATATGCTTTACTCATGGATAAACAGAGTTTTTTTCTTCCCCGTTTCAAACCCAGATGTAGTACCTGTACCACGCCGCTCTGATGTAATTTACATTCTCGACACATGGAGGCAGTGCACTCCAAGCCAGACTGCCCCTGCTGACATTGCTCCCATAGATGATGTTACTCTCTATTACATGGATCTTTTCCAGTTGGTGAAAATGTGCTTTCAGACACCCAGTCTTCATCTCAAAGGGGCCTTTTAGCAGGAGCGATGCTTTGTTGTGCTCAGACACACAGCGCTGTTAGTTATATGATAAAAGTGGGCTCACGAGGTGGCAGAAGAAAGGATGAAAGCTGCAGAGACTTCTTTTTTTTTTTTTTTTAAGTGCATGATTAATACAGGGGGCCTCAGATCAATGCAGGAGCACCAGAATAGGGCCTGGCAGAGAGCTCCCCTTCATGTTTCATGTTGCAGCTCATAACACATGAAGAGGCTCGTCCATCACCGCGTCAGGCTGCCTGTCACATGTTGGCTGTCGGGGCGTACAAGAGGTGCAGAAAGGCACTTCCCTCTGCTGCTCCGTTTGATTTGTCCTTTGAGCTGTCGGTCCTAGCATGCGCTCCTGAACCAGTTTCACTCATAGTTAATTCCACGTGTCTTCTTTCTGTGACAAAATAATTATTTTTTCTCTCTCTTTGTCTCTCTTTTCCCCTCCTGCTTTTGTTTCCACTGCAGTGCATTTGTTTAGATGACTTGTGTTAAATTGTGTTGCTGAGGTCAGGGGCTGCCGGGTTTTAATCACAACCACAGACCCAGCTGGGGCTTCCAGCTTCCATTTACCTCTGATAACCTCCGTGTTCCCATTTTCATCAGTCCGGCTTGTGTTGAAACCTTCCAGGAGGCACTGGGCCTCCAAAATTTTCGCATGCATGTAAATGCGCGATGGATAATTATCACAAGGGTGTGCAAGTGGAAGCATGTGACATGACTTACTTTAAATTGTTGTGGCCAAAAGCTTTGATGTGTTTTATTTAGGTCTTATGGGATACACCAACACAAAGTAGCTCATGACTGTGAAGTGGAAGGTAAACTACAGTATATATATAGTTTTCGAACCTTTCGAGAAAAAAATTTGAAAAGTGCGGTATGTGTTTGTGTTCAGCTTCCCTGAGTCAATATTTTTTATTATAGACCTCCTTTTGTTGCGATGAGAGCTGCAGGTTTTCTTTACCGGTTTTGCAAAAGAAAACTGAACTCTATGCCCATACTTTTGTTGTGAAATAGCGGAAGATAAGTCAGCTTTGATGGAGAGGATCTGTTAAAAAAAAAACAAACAAGCAAATTGAAATTCACTCATTTGCAAATTTTGCAGGGACTTGTGAGTTTCACCAGTTGTCGCAACTTTTTTGAAAATCTGGCCAATCACCTTAATGTTTTCTACGTTTCCCTTTTTTTCTGACCAATCAGTACAACTCGCATGAATTTTTTTATTTGTATTAAGGGTGATATTTCAAGAAGGCACTTGAAAATGCTATTTTCTCTTTAAATATTAACTGTGTTAAAATCCTGTTGTTTTCGTGAAGGTTTTGTGCGGCACTTTCAACTTTTGTTGAAATGCTACGGCAAAAATAGAGCTTACAAAAGTGCAACTTTGATTACAACTTTTGGAGAAAAAAGTGTTGCGAAATCAGTCATTTCAGGCCACAACAAACACAATTGCTTTAAAGGACTGATTTATGGAGCACACAACTTATGCTTGTAATAACCAACAACTACTCTCCCACCTGAGTTGTTGCTCTGTGTAGCTCCTCCAGAGTTACCACATTCCCCCTTTAGCCGTCTTGACAGCTAAACAGTAAAGACGGGCGTTCGTCTGTTTGCTAATTATCTAATTTATGAAGGCACAAAAGCTTTTGTTTAGGAATATCAGGTTAAAAGGAGTCTGTATCCAATTCCATGCCACTAGTTTCAGATGTTTATTTGTTAAAAAGCTTTAAAAAAAACATATAATTTTTCTTCTGACTCACATTTAAGCACTGCATTGTGTTTGCCTGCCACATAAAATCCGAGCAAAATATGCTGAAGCTTAAGAAATATGAGCACGAGGCTCTGTAGCTGGAGTTTTTTTTTAATACGCATTTTAAAAGAACCTCTTTACAGAGAGAATCAAACCTGAATAGTCTCCTGAGATGAGATAAAGCAACAATGTTTATGCCATGAATAAATCATTAATGAAAGGATTGGTTATAGTCTGCTCGGCTTGTAAAAGCAGAAAAAAAGGCAGCTGACCCTGTTAAATCATTTACCCGACCCTTCATTAGATTAAGCATAGGGAGTTAAGCACACAGACATACAAACCTCCAGGCCAATAACTGTCAGATGTCCAAAATTCATCCTCATCCTGCACTAAATATAAACTCGTTTTTTTTTTTTTTTTTTCCTCATGTCATTCCAGCACTGTACTCTGCTTCCAGTGCAGTATCTGGTAACTGAATAAAAAGCGAAAGATAAGCACTCCTGGATTAAGACGAGACGCCGTGTGGGCTGTAACAGAGATGTCAAGGTGAATGTGAAATGAGAAGAAGCATCAATGCCTTTCATTATAAGGAGCAGGTTTCACCAAAACAGGCCCGAACAGGTTGCAGATTCCTGCGGAACGCTATGAATAGAGCGCCGTGGGAATCTACTGTCTGCCTCCTGTCGGTTTTCTTCGTATTGACACACGGGCAGAGCGGCTAAAGGTATGCTGAATGAGCGAACGAGTGACAGGCCTATTGTGGTTGGAGGATAGGAGCAGGAGGATTAGTCTCCTTTTGGCACTGATGGTCCTCGGTGTGGAGGGAATCTGTCATCAGCGGAGCTGCAGGTGGTCCACGGCTCTGAGCAGGGGGGCTCGAGCAAGAAAACAAGTGGGGTTTTCAGCTGGGAGCAGGGCGATGTTTACCCTGAGTTGCCCTGGAATCCGATTCTCTACACCTTAGCTCCTCACCTCTACTCTGATCGCGGTTGTGCCGCCACTCCTCCCCACCCGACCCACGCTCGTCCCCCCGCAAAGGGGCCAGAGCTTTGGAGCGAGTGTAATAATGCCTTTCCCTGCAGGTAGAAAGAAAACAAGATTACGTTTTTTCAATTAGAGGGACTCACACTGAAAACATGCAGCGCTGCTCCAAACAAGGCCAGCATCTCTGCTCTCCCCACTTCCACTGGTGCAGCAGAGAGCTGAATATTTCAGCAAAATTTGTCATGGCGGACATTTTTCAAGATGGTGGTCAAAGAAAAGGCTTTTTTTTAACTGAAACTAGTAATATGTATCATGGATAAATACTTTTAGTGCCAAACCATACATAATTGAATTAACAGAAATCATGTTCACTGATTTACATTGACAACCAGGGTGACCATGATAAAATGGTCACCCTGGTTGTCATGGTGGCCATCTTGAAAAATGGCCGCCATCTCAAAATTCTAGTGGCTAATGGGAAATATGAAAAACATATGACCTGAAGGGTAAACATGTACATTTTTATGTTTGCAGACACACTTGAAAATTTGTTGAAGTCATATGCTGCACTACACTCGTCTCTCTCTCCCCCCCCCTCCCTGAGCCCATTCAGAGGTGACCTGTGGATGGCTGGATGGATTTCTGGGCCGAGCCAGCACCAGTTGAATCATGAGTCTCTGTAAAAGTTTGGATGAGTGTCTCATAAGGGCGTGATGAGACAGGTCTCATAAAAATGACGGAGAGCCCCCTGCATGTCACCGGCCCCTGCCAGGAAAGCCCCGTGATGTACGAGGCCCAGGACACCTCTGCTAATAAGACTCATCTCTTTAATTGGCGTTATGGTGCGGCTGCCCAAATGACACCGGCATGCGGCCGTGTGCGCGGTGAATGCGTGTGTGCGCATCGACTCTGTCTGAACCGGGACCGTTTTGTGCATGCATGTGCTTCTTTAATGTGCACGTGTGGGTGGAAGCTCATGAATGTTCCCGTTATTAGATTTCTCACTTCCCTTCCTCCTCCAGAGCGGAGGATGAGCAGCCTCATTAGTAGGAGAGCACTTCCACTGCTGGCCATGATTTAACACCTTACCCAATCATAATTTATTCAATCTATTCTTAAGTATTGCATGCACTGCTAGATAGGGGTTAGGTTATGTAAGGGTGCAACAGTACCTTGTCTGAATGTGGTATGATGATGATTATTAATCTAAGGAAGCTGCAGATGGTGAGCTACTTTAAAAGTTCATCAGGTGCAGAGGCTGAACCTCAAAATTGTATGTGCTGTATTTTATTTGAGATGCCATCTGATGGACCATAACAGAGCACTGCGCAGAGTGAGAAAACCATGGTTCTGAAAAGTATCGACATTTCTAATCACTCAATGCTTGGCTGGGCCTCCTATTTGCATGAATTACTGCATCAATGCGCCGTGGCATATGATCCAGGTGATCGGCGTGTGGCACTGTGTAGGTGTAATGGAAGCTCAGATTTCTTTGATAGTGGCCTTCAGATCATCTGCCTTGTTGGATGTAGTGTCTCTCATCTTCCTCTTCACAACAGCCTGTAGATTTCCTAAGGGGTTCGGATCGGGGGAATTTGGCTGGCCAATCAAGAACAGGAACATCATGGTCATTGAATCAGCTTTTGGTACCTTTGGAAGTGTGGGCAGGTGTCAAGTCCTGCTGGAAAATCAATTCAGCATCTTCATACAACTTGTCAGTAGAGGGAGGCGTGAGGCGCTGTCAAATGTCTTGGTAGACGGCTGCATTGACCGTGGACTTCAGAAAGCCCAGTGGATCAACACCAACAGATGACATGGCACCCCAAACCACCACTGACTGAAAATGTCACACTGGACTTTGAGCAAAGTGGATTCTGTGCCTCCTCACTCTTCCTCCAAAACCCTGAGACCTTCATATCCAAATAAAATACAGAATTTACATTAATCTGAAAACAGGACTTTTGACCGTTGCACGAAAGTCCAGTTTGTTTTCTCCTTAGCCCAGGTAAGACTCTGGTTCAGAAGTGACCTGATGGGGCGAATGCCACATTTGTAGTCCCTATCTAGTATTCATCTGTGTCTGCAATAGATTTTGCTTGACAATCTTCTCAAGAATGTGGTTCTCCCTGTTGCTGGTGCACCTTATCCTACCACTCTTGTTCCCGTCCACCTTCTTCAGCAATTACCTTTTTTTTTTAACCTTCCTTGTTAAGGGTGGCGCTGACTGTCTTCTGACTGCAACAATTAAAAAACGTAATCAAAAAACACCAGGTACAAACACTTTTGCCAGGTTTAGATTGAGCAAATTTAAGGAGTATGAGACGTTTTGCAGGGCACTGTTGCATTTCTTTGTTGTCTCCAATCAGAAAAGTGGGGGAGAAGGAGGAAGAGGGAGAGGAATCAGAGGTGGTCAAAGACGAGAAGAGAGAGTGCAGACACGGAGAAGGGGAGCTGGTACTCGTTAGCGCGCTGTTCATCAGTCTTGTGGGGGTCAGGGTTCAGGGAGCCCCAAGGCTCGGTGTGTGACCGGTCACCTTTCACCCCTGACCCCCGCAGCCAGCACCTGGAGCTGAGGTATTTCCTCATAACGTTAACTCCTTCATTATTGATTCGCAGCTAGAAGGGCTGAGGCCTCGAAGCACGTGCGGATCTGAGATGTCTTTAGATGTTTCAGCATTTGAATTCAGAGAAAGCGCCACAACCGACTGTTCCAGCTCAAACGAGGGCAAGGTGGGAGAGAGAAATAAAGGGGAATCAAAAGAGGACAAGGAGGTACAGGAGATGGAACAGTCGGAGGAGAAAGAGGAAGAGGAGGAGGGAAGTCAGGGTCACAGCTGCGATAAAGAGGTCGGAATGAAAGATGTTGCTTCGGTCGGACAGGGAGGAAAATAAACATCCTCCCTAAAAATAGTTTGCTGTCCACTTCATGCAGCCCAGCTCTCACTCCAGCCAGGTGTTGGAGCAGCTTTGCTCCCCATAACAGAATCAGGACCGCCTGACTTTTCCAAGCAAACCGGCTTCATAATGTAAAAAACGTGTCTCCGGGCTTTGATGTGAGGGTTCCCTCAAAGCTCATAAGACAAACAGTCGGGGGATATCTTAACCCCTCAAATAAATATGACATGCCTGTCTTAACTTCATATCTGCTCCTGCCTGTTGTGGCTCAACTTTGACCTTTTTCCGTGACCCATGCTGTTGACTTTCCTTCTCTCCGTATGTCTTCATTTCCCTTGAAGAATCTCTCCTGAGCCGAGGTGAACTGCTTGGAAATCCGTCTGAATGAAGCTTTTTCTTTTCTCTCTCTTCTGGCTGATGGACAGATTCCAGTTTGATTGAACCCAAATGCTCAAGGCAAATAAGACAAACAAGAACACACACACACACACACACCTGTGTCTCCCTCGGCCTATCTTTCATCACCCTGCTTTTTGTTATGTGTCCGTCTTCCGGGGGGCCCCCTCCTTTCGCTATTTATGCCTGCAGAGCTACTTTGTTGTGCTTTTAGTGGCTCGGTTTGCGGATGGAGCAGATGCTGGAGCTGATATTCCCTGATCCTGCATTGAGCTGAGATAAGAGCAGATTGATGCCCGAGTTAGGGAGCACGGGAGTAATTGCTGTGGCTTTGATGATCCCGGCCGAGAGCTCTGCTTGCTAACAAGGACGTCCTCATATTTGGGATTTTTTTCTCCTCATCCCTACAGGTTTGAAATAGTCTGAAAACGTGTACACGCACTCATCATGTCCATGAATGTCACATACATTTGGTGAGTTTTGTGATGAATTTGAACTGTTCTTGGACATGAAAAAATTGCCAAAGCTAAAGCTGGACAGACGAAGTCTGAATTTAATCATGAATTTATTCATGCAGACCCAGATTTTTGTATACACTCCCATTAATATTTGCATAGATGTACCTTGACCACACATCATCTACGGGCCTCTGGTAGATGAATGTTTGTCCCTTCTCGGTAGAATTGGTAAAGCTTTTTCAGATTAGAAACATTAATCCTCATGTTTGTCTATTTTATGTTTGAGATCATTGTTGTCCCAGTTGTCCAAGTTTCAACCATCGAGATGTTGAGTTGAGGAAAATCAGTCTTCCCTTTGTTTAAACTAGTTTGTGCAAAACGTCACCCAGCACGATGATTGTCTGACCATAAGGGTGTTCATTTTGGAGCAGGTTCTTATTTCTTGGACCCTCTCAGTCCAAGGCAATGCAAAGCTTGCTTAAACCCGACCAGGGACACCAGTACTCCACCGGTTTCCAGTGTGTGAACGGTGGTGGTTTTGTACTTTTGCTGCCTCCATCCATCGTCTATACCCACCTATCCCTTCAGAATTACAGGGGCAGCTCATACCTACCTGCATGAAAACTCCGTGCAGAAAGAACCCGGCCCGGGATTCAAATCCAGGACCTACCTGCTCTACCAACTGCACCACCGTGGAGGCCTTTTCTGAACTTGTTTCTTCTGAATTTGGGGTCAGATGACTGAACTTTACACACAACTAGGTACTCTGGAACCTTATGGAATAATCCGGACCTCAAACCTAATAAAAAAAATGCATAGAGTTCCACTAAAACCTGCTACATTAAATAAACTTTAACTTGCTAGTTTTGCCATGAAGTGCAGTGAACGATCAAGCCAAATTTGTGTCTAACGATCGCTGATGGCAACAAGGAGGCCTAAACTTAATGTGTAATTCCTGCCCATGATTAGTGTGAGGTAACCTCTGACCTAC